ATGTTAGTCAATAGATATGATAACACAGACAGACATACAGGCACGTGAGATATAGAACACCCCTCATTTTTCAAATATATATCTATTTATAATATTTACTGTAACGTATAAAGCAAACAGCATCAATATTGCTACTTGCCAACCACTCCATACATAATTAGCAATTTGAGTACAATTTAATACATACATGAGTGCACTATTGTGTTTTTTCATCATAATAAATAAGCTAGATAACATTATCAGCTAGATCAATAACAACCGCTTAAACCTAATGCCTTAGCCGTCATTACAATGACTATCATCGCCTAATAATAAAAATAGAGTGTTGTTTTACTGTGCCAAATTCCATATTTCTCGACGACGGGGGATCGATATGAAACCTACGTGGATAGCACGTAGGTTTCGTATCGATCCCCCGTCCAATACAAACGGGGATCGATGATATGGCGGCCTGAGCCGAGGTTCGGATCCTAGTAGTGCCCTCAGACTAAACTCGTATCCGTCAGGCGGGAGTTGGTCTTCAGCCGCTCCATAAGTCCTTCGGCGGGTTTGTAGTGCATTCTGCACTCGCCCCCTATCGTCCGGTGAAGCTGTAAAGGCCAGCTGCAGACAACAGTGTTAGAGTTGTCCGAAAAAAAATGGTTTTGTAAAAGTGGGTTCAATCACATAAAATTATGACAGTTACTCTTAATGTTGAACAATCTACAAAGATATCTAAACATTAATTATGGCACTTATATGTTTTTTTAAAACGATAATTAATACTATTTATTACAATTACTCACTTATCTAGTCAATAATCAGAAAAAAGCAAAGAAATTCACGTAGTACATACATAGAAATTCACATGTGTTTAAAATTTTCAGATATTTGATATCTGATATAAGAGTTAAAATACTAAACAGAGAATTCTTTAATGATCATTAAGTATGACACTTAAGACAGTGAGTTAAAATTTCAATATCAAATATAATGAAAACACGGTTTTTAAAAATAAATTAGTACAATTTTAATAATCACCAAAAAACCCAAAACTCCTAATCATTTATCACATAGAACTCTTGTGCACTTATTTTTTTCTTATTTGACTATACCATCTCTATTGTCCCATTCGGCTAGCTGATTCATTTAATAACAACTGGTATATTGGAAATCAACATGTATATTTTTTTATTATACTATATCACTGTATTATTTCTAAATATAAAATCCCTTGACTGAACTAACGCCACACAAGGTCGTTTCCCCTAATAATCGTTTACAGAGTCATACGTTTTACATTAAATAAAAAAGTATACAATCTCAAAATCATTAAATGATATTTAAAACATTATTACTACCTAATATTAAAAATATAGAACGTTTAAAATAGGAATGAAAGGAATTTCTTTCTCTTATATCGTTAACCCAATATTGGTTTAGTGTTGATTTTTTTATTGCAGTAGACTTATTATAGTTCCCACAAATATGATTTCTCAATATAATCTTTGTTATAAAATTTTGGTCTAAATTATCCTAAAATAGCTTATTGACTCTGTGTAAATATCTATAAAAGTAATGTGTACATACACATTTTATTTATGTATAAAGTATTGATCAAAGATTAAATTTGATAAAGGTGCTGTTTTATTAAGTTTGTGGGCCTGATAAATATTACATCATCAATATCTATCGCTTAAATAATAAGTAAACATGACATAAGTTATTAAATTTTTACAATAATTGAGGTGTACCTCAATTATAGGTATGTATGCCTGCTCTACCTTTAACAGGTCTATCATTAATCTTTTACCTTTATTTAATGTTATATATAAAATTCTCGTGTCACAGTTTTCGTTCCCATACTCCTCCGAAACGGCTTGACCGATTCTCATGAAATTTTGTGAGCGTATTGAGTAGGTCTGAGAATCCGCCAACATCTATTTTTCATCCCCCTAAATGTTAGGGGTAGTCCACCCCTTTTTTTTTTTATTTTAAGGCAAAACAACGTTTGCCGGGACAGCTAGTAATATATATTAATATTTATTCAAAAATACATCGGTACAATTTTATAGATTTCGCCCTGTATTATATTATATTATTATATATTATATTATTTATACTATATGTACCGATTCCATAATCCTTGTGCACATCACATTCCTCGCAATTAATAGTTTCATTTCAGTTCATTTCATTGTTACCTCATTTTAAGTAATATATAATATATATATTAAAGGCAAAACAACGTTTGCCGGGACAGCTAGTAATATATATTAATATTTATTCAAAAATACATCGGTACAATTTTATAGATTTCGCCCTGTATTATATTATATATTATATTATTTATACTATATGTACCGATTCCATAATCCTTGTGCACATCACATTCCTCGCAATTAATAGTTTCATTTCAGTTCATTTCATTGTTACCTCATTTTAAGTAATATATTTTTAATTATAATTTGTAAACCATTAAATACTACAGGTGACGTCATACGACATTTGCTTCTAATTACCTACATAGCTAATTACATTTTAGGTGTAATTTGCAACGTTGAGTGATTTTTAATGCCAGCCGTGATCGTGTGAAACAAAATGCCCCCGTAAATGTCAATGTGATATGGCCTAATCCTTGTACTAAGAATGTGCCGTTAAATTAATTGATAAACTTTTAATGACGAGCCATTAGTCACGAGTGTCTCCCATATTGGCCTGGTGTAGGTAGAGACGACCTATTTTGAGCCCACTTTAAAAGGAGGTTCTAATCCCATTATATATGTATTTTTCGTATGCTTATAATTCGCTAATTTTGGAACCTGACATTGAACTGCGAGTGCATTGGAATAACATTATATAATAGTATACTAAATGTTTTTTTTAAATATATGATTTAATATATAATAAATCATGTCGTATCAACATTTAAAGAGTTTGATGGAAGATCGTGGAAAGTGGCAAGAGCTCCACCGATAAGAGCGTACCTCTTAAATTATGAATGAAATATATAATGTCATAAAAAGACAATTGTCATTAAATTTTTATTTGATCATACATAATTCAATTCTGTGAACTAATTATAAAATAATAAAACTAATCTTGACTTACCCCAGTCATAATCATTTTAACGCTTCCACTAGCGGTGATCAGGTTTCAGCACTGAATATTTGTAATTTCACACATGCTAATGATGGAGGGAGACGAACTTCTAGCATTCTATGGATTTACCATACAGGTGCCGAGTCCATCGTGTGGCAGAGAGGGAAACTCGGAGCAGTTCCCAGTACTTTGGGTCGGGATTAGGGTTCCTATGGCGACTTACATCAACTGCTACGCCTTCACTGCTTTTGTTTCTCTCCCTACCCAGCCAAATCTGGTAGAAGCCTGCTTATAAACAAAGTAAAATAATTAAGGAAACTTCCGCAAAATAACGCCGAATTCTATAAAATATTGTTAAGAAACTCTTTACAACCGATTTTGAAGAAAGGAATATAAAAAGTGTAGCCTTCTCTATTTACCATTTACCAAATTCCATGCTAATTAAGCTAATAAGAGGTAACACTTTCACATTTACAATGACGTGTACCTATCTCTATTATTCACTTATATTTATTACTAGCTGTACCCGCGGCTACGTCCGCGTTGTTTTTATCTTTATTTTCTAAAATAAAAGTAGCTTAAGTTACTCCTTATTACATCAGCTACCTGTCAAAAAAAGTCCCTTCAAAATCGGTTCAGCTATTTCAGAGATTAGTCGGAACGTCCGAGGAATAGAACCCGCGAAACCCAGGGAAGGTAAGCGGTGTGCTAAGCCGCTAGACCACCTGCAATAAAAAATATGCTAACAGTTCCTAAAACATCATCATTATACGCGCTAATTCGATGTTGTTTCAAAACTATATACCTATGTATTTAAAAATACAATAACCTGTTAAAATATAGAATTTAACGAGAATCGACTGCAGTTTCCGGTTCTATTAAACATGACCAAAGTAATAACAGTTTTATGGAGACGTTAATAGATATATTAAAACGCACCATTACTCTTCTAAATTGGTAACAATATATCTAAAACGAAGAAAAGTAGTTAATAACTACTATTTTAAGAATATTTACCAAGGCAGACTTACAAAGCTGTCTGCATGGGCCTCTCTGTCTCAACTAATTCAGCCGCTACGCAAATTGCTTTTATTGGCTGTCTTTTGAGCAGAAAAATTACAGAGTACGAAGCTCATGGCTTCGTACTCTGTAATTTTTCTGATCACCTTACCTTACTCACGGACCTTAGTCATCCAGATTGGCCCTAAAGATCACATGATGCTGTGATGTTCGTACAGAATGTTCCAAAAGTCGACTATAAACCGGAAGCAGGAGATAGCGTATATGCGACGGTCTAGCCTTCACTTTGTTTGCTATTACACATATAAAAAAATACCGTACAGAAATGAGAATAAAATATTCATTGCTTATGTACGAAAATAATTTATATATTAACTTTAGTAACTATTGTATGGTTTTAGAAAACATTGTACAATGTCAATTGTGTCTTTTTATTCATAATTTATTGTACAATAAAATAATACAAACAAAGAATCTTTTATGCAAAGCAAATAATTTAATTATTGGTATCCTCATTGCTTTTCGATGATAGGTTTTAGATTACAGAAGGTATGGCACCTGATTTACCGTTCTAGTAAAAGGTAAGCTCAAAACACTTTCATTCATTGATAAGATATTCTATATCATTGGAAATAAGGTAGATATTACCTCACTTCAATTCACCTTACACCGCACCGATGCATATGAATGACGCAGCCAGCTGTGGACGGACAATGAATCATCCGAGACCGACTGGCTTTAACGATTTTAGGATATCGTTTAATAGCCTTATGCCTATAGGTATACGGTTTATTTTACAACTACATGTTTAATGGGTGTAAAATTGACAATGCGCGGGCGCAAATACGCTACCGCCAGTATTTGAAGAGCGTAAATGGTTAGTGTGTTGAATACGGCCGTTGAAGATTGGTGTGTGTGACGATAGTGAGAAACACCGCGTATTTTTTAGTAAGTGTAAATACAAAAACAGTTCATAGTTTTTTTGTGATGTGATGACAGAAACATTAAGATATGTGACGAGGATTTTTTTAATAACAACATTTTATTACTGCCTAATATGCGTGTTTAAAGAAATTAAACGGTATTGGACTGAGTCAATTGAAGGTAGACGCGACACATCAATTTAATAAAAATGTAAGTACATTCAAACTATATTAGTTAGACCTATAACTATATAAATATATTTGTGTATTTTTATACTTATATTTTAAACTTTAGTTAATTCTAATGTAAGCCGGTGTTTCCCTAATACAATTTATCTATGTAGTATTTTTTTCTGTTTATACTTTTTGATCGTATTGTTATGAATCTGAACCTATATAATTTTTATTTGTAAGATATCTACCTACCTATTATATTTATTGCGAAGTTCTTTCAAACATAATTTTAAGACTGGTGACATCTTTTACGGTAGCCTCGCAGTTAATTATTATATTTATGTTATTATTTAATTACCTGTATTATTCGTTAAACTAAGGCAATTGCTAGTTTTGTTTTATAATAATTTTGACTGTCACAGATGTAGATAATTAATTATAGTTATAAAGTATTTGGAATTACTTACATGAAAAGTTATTTTTTTGGCATTAAGTACTTCAATAATTAATATTATTTTGGTTATGAGAACCTATTCAATATTTTATTTTATATAAAATAAAATTCGACCAGTATTAAGCAATGAAACTATTATTTTTTTGCACATAAATAGAAAAACGCTTAGATATAAGGCAAATGTAAAATAAACAATCATACTCATAAAAACAAATGCTTACATTGTGCGGGAATCGAACCCGCGATGATCGGAATGGAAACAGTGTTCCAAACCGCTAGTCCACCGAGGTCGTCAGATTAATAATAGGTACTTAATGTAATATTATAAATAGAAAATAAAAATTACCTTTCATACAAAACTTACCACGTGAGTGTACATTTTATAGAAAATTTAAAAAATTATTCTCCGTTTACCATTTATCTAACATTAGGAAATTTGTTGTTTTCACCTAAGTTTCAGTTTGTTATATTTCTTTATATAATTTGTGTAATTATATGTTCTCCTGTAGATTATAAATGCCATTCTGTTTTATGTTTTCTGTATGTACCTACCTATCTACCTGACATGGTTTAATATAATGACCTCTAACATAAACGCTTCCAAAAATGTGTCATAAATGTCCCATTCTAATCTATTCAAATTAGAAACCTATTTATATGGGACTTATTAATTTATAATTTACGTTATTTTGTAAGATACATAACAACATGTAATAATAATTTTGTATTATAATTAAAATATGTACATATACGTAATATAATATATTTTATTACAAAGTTATAACAATATACATTTTGATAAACTTATATGGTATAAAACATAGCTGTAATAGTTGTGCCATCATTGTACCTAAAATTCATATAGGTATGTAATATATAACAGTATAACCATGAAATGTAACAAAATAAACAATAAAATAACGTATTAATAATATGTTATTTAATATAATATAATAATTTAATACAGATGATTCAGTGCCATACGTACCTATGAGGCTTTCATTTATCTTTATGGGTGGCAAAAAGCAATGGCATCCTATTTTACCTATACCACAGATAACATAATATTACATACCAATACCTAATTTTTATTTTTGAACTATGTCTGCCTTTTTAGGTAAAAGATCTGCCTACGTCATAACGATAACACGTCAAATTTCATTAGGATCTGTTCAACCATAAAAAGGGACCAAACAGACTGACTCGTCGCTAAGATCGCCAATTTGTATAAGATCAGCTTAGTTAAGTTTTGTCATAAAAATTTAACAAACAGACAAACATTTATTGTTACCGTAGGGATGCGACTGTCTTTATAATTATTAATTAAATGTTTCCGTATATTCCTCAAGTAGGAGCTGAATCGGAAGATTGGATATTATAAAAAAGATTTTTAATTTATTTGACATTTTATAAACACATTCATCAACAATATTATAGTCTTACTTGTTGTTGTGTAATTATGTATATAAAAAACATCTATTCAAAAAGCAACACACAAGTTTCTTGTTCATTCTTCTTGTTATGTATCTGGGTTCCAAATGAGTGGTAGAATAAAAAATATGACTATTCAAAAGTGCTGTCATTGAATTTATTTGAATAAAAATTATTTCTATTTCTAACAATATTCATAAATATGGCATCATTAATATTTACATATCTTTCTTATGCTAATACTTATCTATATTCAAACAGAGAAATACTAGTCTGTTATGATATGGTTTTGTGCATGAAAAATAGATTTAGCAGTACAAATTTCAACCGCACAGTTTAGTTGCCAATTTGCAACAATATTGTTAAATTATTGAGAACAACTGCGCATGGAACTGTTAGGTATTTGTTCATTTGCCAATATTCCAGTGACATACATAAGTTTGTATAACTTTAAACAATAGGCCGACCAATGTTCGTTGTCTTGAAGGTCTGAATTTTACGACAATGTAAAATTCATTTGGACACAAGGTCACATTGGCGGCCGTATTACAGATGAATAGAATAGAAATAATCTATATTCAAATAACGGTTGCCATTTACTGTCAAATGAGCCATTTACTTGTTTACTAATTTAATTATATAAAAAAAATGAATAGCCCTCTTTTTATTCTACGGCTTATTTGGAATGCAGTTTCAGTCAAGTAAAATGAGCAAACTTATCTGTTGTTCTTTTAAACAAATAGTGTACAATTTCACATTTTTAAGTCAACATTACTAATCCGTAGTTAAAATATTAAGTAGATATGTGTAACATGTTGGTTCTAATTATGTAATTGTATTATAAATAATTATTACAATTATGGGGATGTTCACAATTAAAACATCTATCTACCGCAAGATAGATGTTTTAATTGTGAACATTTGACTTGCCTATATCTTCTGCGTAGTTTATTTGTGTTGTGTACGTTGGCAATGACAATTTTTTTAACTACGCTAATGTGAATAGAGAAAGAACGATGATAAAATCAGAAAGTATATAAACTTCGTCTTCATATTATACATATAAATCTTCGTCTTCGTATTATACATATAAATCTTCGTCTTGAACCCCTCTATCTATTGCTAAAAACTGCAGTAGTTTAAAAGCAAAGATAAGCGAACATAAAGCGATAACGGTAGCGATTTCATTTTATACAATGTAAAGATGCACCAATTGGCAAGGGACCATTATTCTATGATCTGTCGCTTGTCAATCCATTTTGATACAAAGATCTATCGAATAGATATTTGAAATGACTTTCCTACAATGTGTACATGGTTTATGCAAAATTGCTCGACGCTTGTGATTGCCACTTGGACGTAAATTGATGCATGAAATAATCCGTCGCGAAGTAGCGAGAACAATGTATGGTTTCCGGGAGATTTGCACGTTCATTTCCTTTAGTGAGCTACGTTTGCAATAAAATCAGTTTATATATGACAACAATGCTTAAATTTAATTTTATGTAACCAGAAAGAGACCTTGTACTATGATGTTCGTGTTTGTACCTCTGTTTCTGCTATTCTGGTGCATAGCTACTTGTTTTGTAGGCTGTGTTTCGGATTACAGTGACATTTTGTAGGGGCAGTGAAATTATTGAATACAGAAACTTAACATCTTAGCCCTGACGATTGGTAATTTATAAAGTAATACAAGCGTCACATATTTATTTTGTGATATTCTTGATGCTGGTCATGTATAGTAGGCGATAGTTTTCATTTCTGTCCAGCTGTCACCTTGTTAACAAATTGAATTAAAAATAATAAAATATAATTGTTTCTCATTACGAAATTATATCTCAATTATTTATTACTCTAGAAACATAATGTATGTGTATAATAAAAATGTAATTGATCAGCATCTTTGGAAGATACTCGTTTATTAGAAAAAACTAATATTATAAACTAAAATTTTGAGACTTTATCAGTCTGATAGAACCCAAAACAATAACTTATATCTTTTTGTTGTGGGTTTGTGAGAACTTATCTCGGAAATTTCTTGGACAATATGGGACCTGTTTTGACCAAATTTCCCTTAAAATTTTGCCTTTTTTATACAATCGGTTTACAGACAAAAGATACTCGTACGTGTTCAAAATTGCGGGCTCGCTTATATGATAAAATATCAAGTAGGTATAATTTTTAAAGTAATTATATGCCTGTACCGTCTCAATTAGTTAATTTTTGACCTCATACGTTATTAACTGGTATGATGTTTGGGTTTAATGAATAACGATAAGAATTATAGGCCACTTACATTCAATGATTACATTATTTATATACAAAAAATTGTACTCATTATTTTGTTGTAATGATAAAAAATAAGATATTAAAAATAAGTTAGACTTAAAATTCTTCAATGGGATATAATATTGAAGAATTTGAAGTCTAATTTAGGCTTTTGAAATAGAAATTCACTGTTGTTAGTTCTTCTGAATGTAATGGTACAACAACACATTATGAAACAAATTCTTTTAAATATGTTATCTATGTAATGTTTTGGCTGTTATGATTATTATGATCTTACATTTTTAGATATATTCAATGCGCAGTGTCATTAAAGTCTGTGCCATTTATCAATATAAGGCGATGATTATTTGCTAGAAGAGTTTTTATTGCCTAACGCCAAAATAAATGTGGGTCATATTTTTAGAAACCTTTAGGTAATCCAAATGAGTGCAAATTGAAAAAATCTATTATTCTAAAGTGCATTTTTTTATAATAGAACATCGTGTTGTACTGTGTTGTAATTGGTATACGCTGTCGGGTATACCATACCAATTACCATATAGTACAGGCGGGCGGGCTTGATGTTCATGCTGCTATCGTCCACCAGTCAATCATAATACGATGAACATAAACTCAGATAAGTTGTTTTAAATTTATTTGAATAAAGATTGATACTATTCCTACACCATTGCGCTATCCTATGACATAAATAAGACTAGGAAGTATTGTAACGTTATTTTTTAAACTTCCATATGATAACCCTACCGTTACTATCTCGTTTATATTTGCCAAAGTAATATACTACATTATTTGTCATATTAGTCACACATACTCTATCTCGTCTTAGGTCTCAACCTTGAATAATAATGTTCTTTGTTGAGAAT